AAGCCAGGGCCTCAAGCACATTGGTACTGAGCTGCACCCCCGGCTCAACACAGGTTTGTACATGGGAAGCTGGATAACCCAGTAATCCGAGATATACAGAGCTCAAGATGGTCAGTGAGGGGCACATTTTCTATTAGGCTTACTGTCTGAGGACAAAAGTCCCCAAAGTTGGGCATGGTGGTGCACACCTGCAATCCCTACACTCAGAAAGGAGGCTGAGGCAGGAAAACCGCCAACCTGGGCTACCTAGTGAGAACCTGTCTCGAAACACACACACACTCACACACAGTCAAAAGTTGATGAGCTGCATGTAGGTTTAACTGATACAACTCACACTTGATCTTATGATACTTTGCTGGTCAAATGACATAAATCTATCATTTATTCTGATGCTTGATTGGAAAAATGTCTTACAGAAGTAGACGTTCACTCTGTCTACTTACTAGTCAGGCATCATTTCTCGGGCTCAATCGAGATCTTACTGGCATCATCGTAACTTAACTGCTGAATGGAACACCAGTACAATGGAACAACAATCTTACCAAGTTTTCATTGACAATTCCATCACTTGCTGCAAAAAAGGCTAAGATGTGAGAAATAAAGTATTTCTCATCCGGCTTGAGCTTGTTCCAGTGAGGCAGATCCTTTGATAGATCAACCTACAATAAAAACATTTGCAAAAATGTTAAATAAGTGTTGGTGTTTGGAAAACTAACTTACACCCTAAAGGTGAGGATCACTATTCCATTAGGAGTAAACCACGTAAAAGAAAAAATACCAACACCGCAGTGCAGAAAGACAGCACGGCCAGCTTGTGGCACAGGCCTGCCTGTGATCCCGGCACACAGCCCTCTGAGGAAGGCCAGGGGCGGCAAGCTCAAGGCAGCCTGGAGGACACGGACAGCCGGAGGCCAGCCTGAGCTGGATAGGAAGAACTGTCTCAAAACCTCCCCCCACAACCACACACATGTACAAAACAGACAAAAACAAAACAAAAAATTACATTAAAAATGTTGTATTGGGGGCATTTGTTAAATGAGATAGTAGCTATTCTAGGCGCAGGACAGAAAATGGGTTTCTATTGTACGTGAGGTGACAGGAACGCTCACTGGCTTAACCCACAGTGATGTTCTCACCACATGCAATGTATACTTTATGCA